ACACGGCTCCTGTCAGGCCCGAGGGTGTCAGCCCCCCTGCCGTCGCCGGCCGGTGGGAGCAGAGCCGGAGATCTAAGCCGGTGGATGGGGCAGGGCTTGCGGGGTGCCTGCCGCCCTCCCGGCGGGGGCGGCTGTGAGCGCCGGCGTCCTGCGGAGCGGCTAGACCACCGCGATGTCCGGCCAGCTTCCCGGGAGGCAGCCCTCGTGGGCTTGCCAGGGGGCAATCCCCCCCCCTTCCCCCTGCCCGCAGCGGAGGAGGGACTTCCGCGTTTGCCTGTGGTCGGAAGTAGAAATTAGCCTAATGAGGCATTTTAACAGAGGGGAGACTCCCTGACTTGCCACTGCTAATTAGGGCCGCGGTTGTTTTGGCTTCTTTTCTTTTTTCCCCAATCTCTGTCAATACTTCAGCGATAGGGTATCTAAGGAACCGACTTAGCAAGTCGTCTCAGTGTCTGTGGATGAAAAGTCTTAATTGCTTCTGGACGACATGGGTGTTTGAAACAGTGCGTGGGAAACCGTAATGCGCAAGGGAATAGTACACGTGCGAAATTAGAACCAAAATTAATGGAACGCAAAACTACATCAACTATTCTTGTGGTACTTCAGCAGTGCGTACATTTTTTAAAAAATAAAAAAGCTTATGAATAATGTAAACAAATATAACCTGCACAGTGCAAATCATGAAAACCATTTGAATACGCATGCCTTGTGCTTGAGAGGAAGTAGTGGGAAGTTCTTTTTCTCCTGATTTGTAAATGGAATAAAAGATAGGTATTTGACTTTTGCTGCAACGGTTCATAGTTCTGTACTGTCGAGGTTATGAACAGCTCTGTTTTAGCCGATAAATACTTAAGTTCTGACAGATAAACTCTTGGGGGGGGGGGAATTGGCTGTTATCCTTAACGGTTGCCTATCATCAAAAATAACATGTTTGAACCCCTAAAAGTTTTAAAGACTTGTAACGAAATACTTACAAAGACTCACTCTTGGGATCCCCCATCCAATCTATAGTCTAGGAATCTCAGTGCTCTTTCTAATAAACTTTCAGTTTAATTTTGAACAAGGGAATTTCTTTAAAGCAGTATTTAGACAATCTGTATGTAATAAATATGCTAAAAGTTGTAATAAGACCTGTAATTCTAAGAGTTAATTTCATGAAAGTTTAGTAAAAGAAAAACAAACAACAGCTCGTCCCCCCTCCAAATTATAGCAAATATTCAGACACAACGAAGAGCACACAGACACAGTTTTATAATGCCATGTGTTTTACCACTGGGAGCACCTTGATTTGGGTTAAGTTTTTTTGAATGCTGGTAGAGCTGGCTTGTGTTTAACACTTTGATTCTTCTGCTGAAACCTGTAGCACAGCCTTATTTTTTTCAGTTCTGTCCCCCTGCTAAATTGAGATGGTGGGTTGTCTGTGCTGTGGTGGGCTATTCTGTGTATCTGCATGAAATGTCTTTGAGTCATACCAGGCTGACTAGTGCAGTATAAATGCAGTCGTATTTCTTCCTAGGGTAGCTGAACTCGGTGTGTGACTCTTCTGCTCACATACACATGGGGCTGAGGAGTCCTGCGGGGTTTGAGTAGGCTCCACCTAGATGCTCAAGTCATCTAGAATGAGCTTGGGTCCTAGTTCTGGCCAGTGCTGATCCCAGGGGAGTCAAGCTCTGTGCGAGTCAACAGTGCTCTAGGAAGGCTCTGTGAGTTTGAATGGTATAGTCCCTTTTTCTCTTCTAACTAGTCTTGGATAACAGCCTTGATTGTGTGTCAGTGAAGCATCACAGTAGTTATTTAAACCACAGTAGCTAAAGTTAGTGATCTAAATTTGTTTTGATTTGACTTTTTAGGTAAGATGCAGGTTGATGTGCTGTATCTTTATGTAATCACATACCTTAATGCTTTTTGCTGTGTTAGCAACTATTGAAGGATGGCCATCTTTGTGTGGGAATAGATGCCTGTTTTAGCAGGTATGTGATTTATAGCCAAGAAAAGAGCAAAACTGCGGTGACAATAAGAGATCTATAATTTGAGACCCCTAAAGGTTTCTGATTTAATTACACAAAAAAGAAATACGTTTAATTTTTTACTGGAGATTTCTGTCAAGTTGCACTTGGATAGAAGTTGGAATTTAAAAAGATAAAGCAGTGTTTTTATGTTGACCAGAACTACTCTTAGTAAGTTTTATTAATCTATTTTTTCTGTAGTTAGTTTAATTTACAACAAATGAAATAATAAACAAGAATAGTACCCATTCTAATCAACTGATTATTTTTCTTTCCAGGAATCAAATCTTTCAAAGCTGTTAAAACACCTAGAGATGTTGATAGGAAGCTATATGCATTTCTTCCCTCTCCCTCCAAAGGCTGGATAAGTTTTGATGGTGCTAACATACTCTTAAATCTGGTTAGGTCTCTCTCAGAAGGCACAGATAAGAGTCCAGGGAATGGAACTGTCCATGTAATAGGCAGTTGAGCAGATATCCAGGTATGACTTCTTGGAGGGCTTGTAAGCTTATCAGAAACAAAACAAAATTGCTGAGAGTAAAATTCAGCATGGCCAAGCTGAACTCACATTCTTCTAGGCAGTTTCTCAGCGTGCCTGTTCTCCTAGCTGCCGTCTTTACCATCCAGTGTTCCTGGTCTTTAGATTCTGAGAATTAGTAGATCACATGCTCTCGTTTCATTTTCAGAAATAAAGCAGTTTTTATTGTTTTCTCAACTAATATTGGATTATCAATTTGTAATGAGTTTATGAAAATGAAAATAAAGAATTCTTTATTGGTGCTTGTCAACTCTGGCAACTGCTGAAATATAAGTTGGTAAACAAACCTTTAGAAATACTTCCCACCCAAATACCCCCAAACCTGAAAGTCTGTATAAAAACCCACAGTTACAATTGCAGTTTACCAGATAAGAAGGTATAAAAAGTAAGAGTGATTGAATTTACAAAGCAGATATGAAAGGACAAAATTCCACAAGCCTTTTGTAATTTCCCTACTATAAGTGGTTCTGTGAGCCAGAGATTAGTGAAGGCCAGCTTCCTAGGAACATGTCTGGAGATCTGGCTTCTGTGTAGGTTATCCAAAGCCTAAGAAGGGTTACATTGCAGCCTTTTTCTCTGTGGTCTTCTGTAGGGTTTCTCTCTAGCTGCCTGAAATCTCTAGAAATGCCCAGATATCTAGTTTACTGTTGGATTTTGCTGGATGTATTTGCACGCATGTGAAAGACACATTTGTGCACCTTCCTTGCTCCAGCTCTGTACCAGCTTTGTATTTGATTTGATTGCATATGCCTAGTTTCCCTAGGAACACGAACTGAAATGGTGCTGATTTGATGTAAGGAAAAAACCTTTCACTGTGAGCAGAGTCCATGTTGTGGTTTAACCCCAGCTGGCAACTAAGCACCACGCAGCCACTCACTTATTTCCCCCCTTCCACCTGGTGGTATGGGGGAGAGAATCTGGGAAAAAAAAGGTAGAACTTGTGGGCTGAGATAAGATCAGTTTAATAGAACAGAAAGGAGGAAACTAATAATGAGAGTACTAATAAAAGGATTGGAATATACAGAATGAGTGATGCACAATGCAGTTGCTCATCACTTGCCCACCGATGCCTGGTTAGTTCCCGAGCATCGATCCCCCCCAGGCCAACTCCCCCCAGTTTCTATACTGGGCATGACATCCCATGGTATGGAATACCCCTTTGGCCAGTTGGGGTCAGCTGCCCTGGCTGTGTCCCCTCCCACCTTCTTGTGCCCCTCCAGCCTTCTTGCTGGCTGGGCAGGAGAAGCTGAAAAATCCTTGACTTGATCTAAACACAACTCAGCAACAACAGAAAACATCAGTGTGTTATCAACATTCTTCTCATCCTGAACCCAAGACATAGCACTATACCAGTTACTAGGAAGAAAATTAACTCTATCCCAGCTGAAACCAGGACAGTCCATCACTGCAAGAGGTTGCCTAGAGAGGCTGTCAAACCTCTGTCTATGGAGGTTTTCAAGACCTGACTGGCCAAGATGCAGAGTGCCCCCGGTTGCAGTTCATTGATGAGCCTGCTTTGGATAGGAGGCTGGGCTGGGTGTCCTCTTGAGGTCCCTTCCAGGGTGAATGAGTATTGTGCCAAGAAGCAGACTAAAAGGAAGGCAAACAGGAACTTTCCATTTTGTGGTGAATTTTCACTTTGAAGACGTGAGATGTTGGTATTTTCACTTTTTTTAATGCAGGGAAATTATAGTCAAGCATAGTTAGTTGGCAAACTAGATTTGTCTTTGACTAGCAAGATACTGTCCAGACTGTTACCTTGTTGTTTAGACTAGTATTAAAATATTACGGTACTACTGGAAGGGAAGAGTTGCATTTGTGATGTTTGTTGAAAAGCTGAATGTAGTTGGATGTTATAATACATGATTACAAATGTTGTAGAAATGAAGGGAACCTTTAGTGTTGCATAAAACTCCAGTTTGCTCTATTGTTATGGAGGTGTTATCTAAATGAACAGTAAACCCAGGAGTAGACTGATGGATAAAATGCCTGAGTAAGAGTTGAATGACCTTTTTAGAACTGAGTTGAGGACATCAGCTGCAACAGTGATTCTTTTATTTTGCTATAAAGTTGCCTTGATTCTGTTTATGAAAAGGTTCTGTCTGTGAAAACTCAATGGAGTATCACTTTTTTGGAAACTACAATTAAAAGTAGTTTAAGATACATTTGTCTTTTAGGTAGCCAATGCAGTAAAAGGATCAAGACCCTTGGGCTAGAGTAACTCAGGTTTAATTTTACTGTAGTGCTTTCATGTTGAATTTGCTGGTTAAGCATGGGATGCGTACCAACAAAAGATTGACCATAGTTATGCATGGAAACAAAGTTTAAGCTAAGGCGTGACAAATGTCCAAAATACAAGAGAAATAAATTAGTAGTAAAAGACTATGGATAATAACCTGTATAGTAATCAAGGAATTAAACTGAGGGCTTGAGCGAATAAGCTTAGAAGGTTGAAATTCTGTGACCTTTATCATGGGGTACTGCTGGTCTAATGAATACAGAGAATGTTAGATGCATAACTTAGAGCCTTACTCCGAAGCGGTTTGTTTAAATACCAGCTGAATAACCTTGCACGTGATACAGAAATATACATCTTTTTGGATTGAAGACCAACTACTTGACAACTGAAAACCAAGTAATTTGTATGCAGGTTTCTTTTTTTTGTTTGTTTTGGTTTTGTTTTTCTTTCTTTCTCCCGGATTAATGACTTCCATTTCAGTAAAGTTCTTGGTTAAGAAAACTCTTGAGATACATGGATGTTACATACTATACCACCTTTGCAGACTAATGTTTCTTTTTTGTGAGATAGACATGCCTCAAGAAATGTCTGCTTCACCTTCTTCAGTAGCATCAGTGTATCAGTTAAAGGACTGAGATGGAGGAACTGTTTCCTGTGGAGCCTAACGTATTGAACCACATCTTCTGGCTGATCTGAGCGTGGTGACATCCTGTCAGCTCTGTTGTTACCTGCAGTGGACCATGGGGTTGGTGCACGTAACCTGCTATCATAGAGAGACTGATCATAAAGCTTTAAGCGGAGACTATACAAATTCCCAGTTGACTTCACTTTAAAAAGAGGGTTTTACGTCTTGATTTTACTCCTTGGATTTTGGTAGAATGCCAGACTAGTTACTTTTATTTATTCCATTCTGTATAGGTTCCTGTTCCACACCCACCCCAATGGTATCAGAATGTCTTCCAGACTTCTTGCTGATAAAAAATATTAGAAAACAAGACTAGCATCTGTCAAATGGGGCTCCCTCTCCATTTCTCTCTACACACCTTTCCTTTGGGGGGAGAAGAAGAGGAGAATAGCATGTGAGTTGTGTGAAATTTTAATTTAAAAACCCCCTCAATTGTATGTTTTGTACATAAATTAAGGTTTCTTTTTTTGTCGTCTTGAGTGATGACATACAGAGTAGAAAAAGTTTTTTGATTTTGTTTTTTTTTTCTTTTTCTTTTGGTGAGGCTTAACTTGTAGCTTCTGTCTTATGTGGGAGGGATTTTTGCAGCTGTTTACAGGAAAGTCTCACCTTTCAAGGCAAAGATTTCATGTTGACAGTGATCTTGCTTTTTTTTTTTTTTTTTAAAGTACAGCTTTTCAAGACATTTACAACCATCAAGGCTGAAGTCCTCTTTGGGGATTTTCTTAATTTTTTTCTTTTTCTTCTGGATGAATTGTTTAGTGATAAGGACTGAGATCTTTTAAACTGTATTGGGTCCTCTGCCAGCTATTTAAAAACAAAGAAATACCTGTGAAGCTCTCGGTGACCTTTTTCAGTGCAGGGTAGTTCTGTTGCATTTTGTGCCCGTTTAAGTTTCTTGAATCTCAGTCTAAATTGCAATTTGCTGTAATCTAGGGAGGAGGTGATAAAGGCACATAACTTCTAAAGCTAAGCCCATGGGGATACCTTATGATGTACTGGGAGCTGAAGATAAGCAACTGGTGCGTCCATAGCCCAGCTGCATGGGGACCGATAAAAGCCTAGCTGTTGGGGAAGCACTAGACCCTTCCTGGTGGTATGTTCTAGACAGGTGGGCAACCACGCTGCACAACAGCCCTTGAATAGATGAGCTGCAGCAGTTAATCTGCTTTAGTTGTCACCCTCCTCTGTATGTTGGACTCGCGCTATCACAGCTTGCTGGAGGGAGCAGGGTAGGGTATAAATCCAAATTTTGGAGTAGGGGAAGGTGATAAAGCTATATACACTTCTTCAAGAGGAGGAGACCTAAAAGCATATGGGTTTTAAAAAATATGTCCCACTTCAGTATATTTAGTTATCAGTGCCATACATTAATTATGTTTTATTTCTACTGCATTAATATTGTAGTAGCTTGTTTTATGCCAAGATTCATATCAGCTTGCAGCAGCAGAAACTTCTGCAGGAAATTTAGATTTTGCTAGCAATCATATTTTAAGCATGTACATACATGACAACAAACCAAACTATCAAAGAGGCTTCTCATCTTGACACTAACATTCAAGGTGAAAGGTGTTGAATTCCTCCTTCCTAAATGAGATGATAGTAATTTTCTGAAAAGAACTTAGTAAAATTCTGGTGTTCACATTCTTTTACAAAGGCCCCCACAAAACACAGTATAGCTGCCAGATAGACCCAAAGAGATCTGAAAGAAAAACTTGCAATTCTGTTTAGATAGGAGAAAAGAAATGTAAAGAATTTTTTTCCCCCCAAAATCAGATTCTGTTTCCTTTAAGAGAAAGCAAGTGATCTACTGGGAAGTATTAATGAGACCAGTTCTTTGGCTTAAGGCTTTTGGGTTTTAATATCTAAGAATGTGTTTTTCAAACTTTAGTTTTTGGTTTAATACTGTTAAATATAAGGGCCTGTGTTCAAGTATTCCATCACTTTTTTTGTATTTCTTTTTCAGGAAAAGTGCAAAATGTTTCAAATTCCTGTTCAAAATCTTGATAATATCAGGAAGGCTCGAAAAAAGGTGAAGGGCATTCTTGTGGATCTTGGGCTTGACAGCTGCAGGGAATTGTTGAAGGTAAAGCATTTGAAATAATGTAAACGAATCTGAAACATAAACCCTTGGAAAATATTTCACTTGTTAGTGTATATATGATAATCCTCTGCCATAGATCTTCATGGTGGGGTCTTTACTGGGAGGATTACTCATGACTGACTACTCATATGCCGGGGTGGAATTAGCATTTTAGTACATAACATTGAAAGAAACTCTTGTTTCTCAACAGGATGTGTCGTAGATGGTGGTGCATATTTTCTGCTAGTAATATTTCAACAAAAGGAAACAGTACAGCTTTAGGAAAAACACCACAGACTAATGAAATGTTATTTGTGTACTACACAGCAACTTTTTTGTGATTCTTTTAAAATCACAAGCGGATGAAGACTTGAGTCTACTCAAGGCATCCCGTCATATATCAAAGGCAAGCCTCTGAAGGATATACAAATTGTCAGTATTTCTGAAAATGGACAAGCAATTAGACCCAATAATCTTGTTGTACACCTTTAAACTTTTTGTCCAGGGAAGAATACCAAACTTACTGAGCTGGGGTTCAGTTCTGCATCTTAAAAAGTATATGCAAATGTCCTGGGCAATCAAGGTGAACTTAGTACCATTGTTGCCACTTTCAGGAGACAGTATTGTGCAACAAGCAGGAGGAATTCACACCATCAGATTGGCAAGCCTAATATCAGAAAAAGTACAAATGCAGTAATGCAACTCAATGACTAAACTCTAGTGGCTTTCAGCCAGCTGGTACACAGTTTTTTTTGGCTGTTTAGTATGTTTGTGAGTTCACGTTGACTGTAGTCAAGAGTTTGGATTAATTCTATGTGATAGTACTAAAGTAAGTTAACTCTGTAGGGGTGCTGCTGTGTCTTTTGTGGTGTTTTTTCTGAAACTGTGCAAGTAATTGACTGGAAAAAAACCCGCTTAAGATGTACATGCATAAATAATTCTGGAACATTCTTGGTTATTGCAGTTGAATGATGTTTGGTACATCTAAATAAATGTTCTAAGAGCTCAAGGAAAAGTGTATTTGTCTAGTAATTTCCATTTTCTTACTGTTTTTATTGTTTTGTGTACTGTTTTGTAATTAAATCTCTAAGTCAAAAGCTGTTCTGTCTTGACCCTTTGAAGTAGAAATGTTTTGTTGGGTTTTTTTTTTTTTGCTATGAAATTGATTGCGGTCTAACTTTTTGATTGCAGTATGGGGTTTAAGGGTGAATGAGGAATAAGGTGTTTTGTGTTTGGTTTTTTTTTGGGGGGTGGTGTGTGTTTATTTTGTTTTGCTTAATTTTTAATAAATAGTGGTGGTGGGGAATGCAGCGAACATTTCCATTCTGGAAAAAGCTCTGTGTGACGCGGGCCAAAAAAATACCATTTGAGCTTTTTGCAAATAATTCTCCCTTGGCCAAGTTCATAACTTCAGTTTGTTTTTTTCTGGGTAATCTAGGGCTGGTTTTGGTATAACGTTACCAGCAAGAAGAATGGCTTTTAGAACTTGATTTGCACTTGGCTCATACGATGATGGTATTTCTTTTTGGTAGAATAGAGTGTGTGATGTTTTAGTAGGTGAGAAGTAGCTTAAGGTTGTTTCCTTTTTCCTCAACTATTAAGACTGATTTCTGGACATTGTCCTTGTGAGGAGGTTGGACAATTTAGGAAACAGTCTGAAATGATGTGATCCAAACTTGACCTGCCATCTGGTCTTAAAACTGGTCTTAAACTGTTCTAGTAAGGCATGATAAGGGACAGTAGTTTGTGAGGAAGGTGAAGGAATTTCACATGTAACTGGTATCTCTTTGTAGCTTGGAGACCAAATGGTTTAGTTTGTAGGGTAAAAGTTCTTAATAGATCTCTGCTAGGAAGAATACATGAGCTTTTTCAGGTAGATTACTAGTTTTATTCTCAGAGTAGTACTTTTAAGTACACTAATATCGGAGGCTTTCATTTAGTAAACTATTTTAGCTTCTTTAACATACTGTGATCTTTAAGTCTTCATTTAAACTCTGAGCATTTTATCTTTTTGTTCTGAAAGACACTGATGGTTTTAATACAGGGGGGAGAACAGTTCTTAGTTTTAAAATGTTTTTCTCTTAAACTTAGAAATACCCTCTATGCATCAGGATTAATCAGGCTTCTCAGAGGGTTTTTATTCCCTTCTTGTTAGCTTTCCCTTCTCCTGTTTTCTTCCCCTTCTCAAAGTGAGAAATGTGGGAAAGGCATAACAAGTTAGCCAATCAGAGCTTGCTTCTGGGATGTCAGAGTGGATCTCTGTTTAAAGCAAGAGTTCAGAATAGCCATTCGCAGCACTGACTGATTGTAGTGATAAGAATGGTTATCTTTTTTTATCAGTGAGTACTTCGCTGTAGGAAATTGCCATTTCAGCAAAACTATCTAGACTTACTCTCACACACATCTGGCTTGTGGGAATCTGGTGTTCAAGGTTAGGAGCCTCTCTTGGTGGAAAGTACTCAAACCAAAAGCAGAACATATTTGGGGTAGGCCATAAACTTAAAGAAAACTCTTTTAACAGTGTGTAATTCACTCCAGTGTGTTCGGCTGAAGAATTGTTAGTAAATCTTGAGTCTCTTTGTCTTATCTATCAAACATACGTAAGAAAACCATTGTGTTCTCTAAGGCGGTGGGATTTCTCTTGTTCCATGCAACGGTTTTTCCGTAAGTTTTTTTTTTTAAAGAAGGTTTTGCTGAAGGGCAAATAGGTGACTCATCCAGTGCCTACATGTTGATTAGAATGGAAGGGGTTTGTTGTTGCCCTGAGCTCTTCAGGATTCTCCTTGGGGAAACTTGAAGGTTGAAAAAGGTAGGAAGCTTATTGCAAACTTAGCTACGTTTTTTTGAATTCTTGAATAATTTAATTTAAATCAAATTATCACTGGCATGACCTTCTGGCTCACTGTAATCTGTTATACATACAGGGCTGCTCACATTTGCATGGTATGGGGAGGAGCCTAGTGCAGACAGCCTGCATTAAGTAGGATTGTGTATTTGTTTGACTGCTAGAGGCTTTCTTTTTGTTGCTCATTATATCCTGTGTTGCTTGTAAATTTCACATAAATACTGCATTGTTTATTTGACCATGAACTGGTCAAAAAACTTCTTGGAAGATGATCTAATCTTAAATGGTCTTTATTACCTGCTTCTGCTGTTCCAATGAGGTTTGGTGCAGAGGTGAAAACAGCTTACTCTCGCTAAGCATCTTGCAGAATTTTGAGTGAAGAGGGGTTTGTGAAAGGAAAGGAGAATGTGAGGGGAGAAGCGATGCTAGTTTTCTGAGGGTTAAGCCTGGATTTGTAGCCTCTGTTTCATCTAAAACGCTCTAGTGTGCAGTTGAAGCTAGCCTAGGGTCTTCAGAAATGCCTAGCAAACAGGAATCTATTTATTTTTTTTCATTAAGTTTGTGTTTGAATACACATGGACCTCAGAAAATTGGAGAGGAACTTAAGATTTTTAGAGTAGTAGCTGGCTTTGGCTTGAGGAACATAAACTGCTTTGATGGGATTGATTAGAAGAATGCTATAAGGGAAGTTGTTTATCCTGTCATGGTTGTTCTGGACACGATAATATTGTTGCTTTTACAGCTTGAGGAAAAATACTGCTGCTCTTTGAAATAAGCTTCTGGGAATGTCTTTGTTTTTCCAAGTTAAAAGCATAGCAGTGCTATGAAGATTTAATACTAAAACTTGTTGCAAAGTAAACCATAGTGGTAAGTTAATAAATGGAAGTAAACAGTGAAATATTACAGATTTAGGAGGAGAAAGGTAGAGGGAGAAAATACATTTCAGTGTTCACTGTGAACTTGGCTAGAAGCAATGGAATTAAAGTGTAATATTTTCACTCCTATATTATTTTCAGTAACGATGAAGTATTCAAAATTCCTACTGTTTTATGAGGCAGTCATATGAACAAGTATCTGAGGTAAAATAAAGAGGGATCAAAAAAGTAATTTCTTTGAACTGAGTTTTGAGACCTGTATCTGAATACTGTATGGACTTTCCATTCATCCTCTGTTTGATTGTTTTTTTTCTTTTTTTCTTCTCCCTTGCTCTGTATTGAGACTGTTTTTGTATTCAGAACAGACTGCGAAAGGAGATTATTTCTTGTTTTCTTTTTTCTTTTAGAATCTTAAAAGTTTTGACCCAGGTGAAAAATACTTTTGTAACACTTCATGGAGTGATGTCTCTCCTTGGGAGTCTGTGGGCAAAAGGAAGGTATGTATGTTTGTGTTAGAAATTCTGGGTAGATGTGCATGTGGAGTCACTGAATTTCATCACTTTCAGAAGTCCTGTAAAAGTTTAAATACACCTTTGTTACGGTAAAACAAATAGCTTTAACATCTGTTTTCTAAGTGCTATTAGTCAGGGAATAATCTTTCTTTTCCTCTGTGTTCTTCCCTATAGTGCAGCTGGTTATAAGGACTATATATGCAGTTTGCTGTCTTTAAGGATACAACCTTGAACATCAGTATTTAAGATGTCACACTAATATTCTGCCTTTTTAGCCTAATCTAATATGTAGTCTTAACATGCTCTTGTATACAACTTGCTTCTTGTTTCATTGAAAGGGTGAAAATCTGATAGCATAGATGTGAGTGGATTAAGCCGAAATTACCATTAGTATCTTGGGATAGGGTTGCAGTGGAAAATATATTCCAGTTAGCTTTGTGTATGTGAAACAGCTTTTAGTTCTATATAGCTGGAATCTTGTGTGAAGCTAGAATCTACAAGAAAGGCATGGTTGAGGTAAACAAACCAAAGGAGTTCTATAATTTTGTATTCTAGCAAGTTTCTAAGATACTATGTAGAGCATAGGAGTATATCCAGAAGAAAAGGTAGTCTTTTCTTAGTCCTGCTGAAGAGTCTTAGGGCTTCCAATTACTTCCATGAGGAAGGCCTGTCAACAGCATGTAAACAGCGGTGGGTCTGCTCTTTTCATCCTGAATACAAAAGTTAATGGTTTAGAATAGTGTGGTGGTGGTTTGCAAGGATTTTTTTAATCTTCCTTTGCCATCTTTAAAACAAACTGAGGCTGCCAAGTGCAACAGTTGCATTTTTTAACAAAGCCTCAACATGCAGGCTGACCAAACAAAGCCACAACAGTCTTTGCCAAACTGGCATTTTAGTAGAAGGTGACCCCTCTTGCCCTTCAGGACCTTTGTCTCCTTTCCTGAACTTGGGTTCACATGTTTAAGGCTGGAGGTTCATCTGTTCATGTGAATTTGTGGATGAAAGAGTCAAATGTGACTTGACTAAGTCTGTAGAGACAGATTGCATCTAGCCTCTTAGTGCCACTTGAGGTAAGGCTTACAGTTACGTTCAGTCAAGACTACATTTACTTTAGGCGAATGGAATAAATCCTGTTCATGGTGATGATGTGGTTGGTTTTTTATTTGTTCTTTATGCAAGTGGAAAACTTCTTTTATCAGGTCTCCTGGCTCCAGTCAGCACATTATCTGAGCTCTAGCCTTGCTGATTTTGTCTTTTTTTGCCTTTTCCTGTACCTTCTGACTAAAGAAAGAAATTCAGTGGTGGGAGATCTTCTGTGTTAGATGAACAGGGAGGTTTCCCCTCCTCCCCAGACATGAAACAGGGAAGAGGAGGCTGAAGACAGAGCAAGTGAAGCTTCCTGTCTAAAACTTAAGATGAAGGGTTTAAGACAGAAAAAAAATTCTTTCTTCCACAGTCCTTTAGGAAAAATGATTAGCCATTTCAGTGAAAATGGAAAAGAACTAAAAATCATGCACCAGAGAGGTAATCTTCTTTCATCCCTATTGTCTGGAGAGAGACCTGATCCCGTACCGGAAGGGAGAAATACAGATCCTGACTCAGCTAGTCAGCACAACCAGTAGTATCCATATCTGTCAAAAAAACAAGATTGGAATCTGATGTGATGAACTTCAGTGTAGAGTTTGTAATGTGTTGCCGTGGAACAGATTTGCCAAGCCAAGTCTTTTGGATACTAAACTTTTCTTTAAACAGCTGTGGTTCCTTGATCTATATCATTCACGTATCTTGGCATCATGCTGCCTAGATTTGGGAGAAAAGGAGTTGGTCCTTCAGGATGTTCTATTCCAAAGTTGTTGCCATAAGGGGAAAATAAGTTGTTTGAGTTACATTGGAAACTCAGAAGGCTGGAGAAGATGTGTATTTCGATGAGTTGGTGGTTTCTACTGTTGGTACTATTTTTAGGGAGACATTAATAATTTGGAAGAACTTCGGGTTTTGGAGGCTATCGTGTCTTTCTGCTTGTCTCTAGGTTGTGGGGAATGTGAGACTACACAACGGAAAGTGTTACTGCGTTCTGGGGTATGTTCATTGGAGTGGGACTAATTAAGTTTTCCTAAATGCCTCTAATAAGCCTTTTTGGATTCCATTTGTACAGTTAAGGATTGTGTTGGTCAATCTTCAAGACGCTTCATTTTCCCTAAATGGCTTAGAATTCTTATTTTTGTCAAATTTTCTGTAAAACTGAGATGCCATTAGTAGACTGTAGTAGCACTTGCAAACATAAAAAGCAGCTTAGATGTGTGTGCAAGGAGAACATGCTGACAAAATGATTTTCTAAGGTATCTGTGTGGAAGACCTCTATTTTATACAGAAAATATCAAAGTAGCAGACTTCCACATACTTCTGTTCTGCTGAAACAGATATATTTTTTTTATTTGTTGTTGGGGTTTTTTTTAGGCTAAGTAGTGGGACTTGAAGATTTGTCCTAATTTGATAGAACTTGAGGAACATAACTTTTTTATTCTTTTGCTGAAGTCTCATGATTTTTACCTCCATCAAAAAATAAATATCTAATAAGGCATGGAACATTAACTTTCCTAGACTTACCAGTATGTAGGTACTGGGGTGGTTTCTTAGTGGTGTACCAATGCTTGTTTGTGTAAGAAATGAAAACATTGTTACTATGGAATAGTAACTTAATTGAGCACTTGGACAACTTGTAAAGTAGAGTGTTCTCACTGCATCTAACAACAACTGTTCAGGCTTGGGAGCAAGGAAATATTGACTGTGTATTACACTATGGTATAATTTTATGGGGACAGAAAGACCCAAACCAGAAATGGGGCGGGGGAGGAGTAAAGAGTTGTATGGGCCCAGTATTTGAAGGCATATAAACTTTTCTAAGCCTTGGACAACCAGTAAAAATAAGCAGTCACCTTTCTGTCACCTGACTTCTTCAGAAATAAGGCTAGCGAGGCGCAGCTTTTAATAATGCTCTGTATGCTTCACTAGTTGAGTAGTGTCAGTGGCCTTTCTCTACTCAGTATGTTTTAAAAGTAAGATCGAAGCCTCTCCTAATTTGCTGCGGTACTGTTTACTAGCAGTTGAGACCAGACACCTAGAGAGTATAAGTGGAGGATAATTCACTGATAACTTCCCAGTGTGCTCTTCAGCAGCCTTAGCCAGCCAGTGGCTTTATCTGACCCAATCTTTTGAATTTGGAGGTTAGATTTTGGCTACCATCAGGAGACTCTTCTAGTACTGCTAACAGATGACACCTTCATGGCTATATGAGATGACAAAAACATAACTGCACAAATTTTTGCTACTTCATAACATGTCTGTGACATGTATGTGGGTGATCTAGCTAGGCTGGGTGGAGCAGCTTGTTCCCTTTGGATGGTGTTTCATAAGGGGCAGAAGTCAGTAAGGTGAAAAACACATCTGGCAGAACAGACAAGTTCAGTAGATGTTTGAGAGTACAGATTTGTCACCCGGATGTTGCTGTGACTGATTCTGTAGTTTTTGGCAGGAGCCAGGGTTAACTTCCTATAGGAAGTTGATAAAAAAAAAAAAGATTGACAAGGCTACCAGTTTTTCAGAAAGAGCAAATAATGTTCATATGGATAGGAAAAGTAATGCTGTCAAGTGACATGTAATTGGGGGAGCAAACCACAGTTTTGTTGAAGATAGGTTTATTTTCGTACAGTTAAAGTATTTTTCTCCCTTTAAGTATGTCATCTTTAAGCCTGATTTTCAAAAACAGAAGAAACTGAGAAGATACATGCTATACATCCAATGAAGGCATTTTTGACAGGTGATAGTGCAGACTTACTTTCAAACAGATGACAGGGATTTAGGAACTGGCAGTTTCTAAGTGGATGTTTTTGTTTTGTTTGCAGAGATACAGAACAAAGCCGTACTGCTGTAGCTTATGCAAGTTCTCGTCAAAATTGCTTACTTCATTCAAGAATCACTTGCACCGTTACCACGAGGATGAAATGGACCAAGAGCTGGTGGTTCCTTGCCCAAAATGTGCATTTGCTTCTGATCCCAAAATAGTGGGAAAACATATCCGGATGTTTCATTCATCTAATAAAAGAATACAGAACTATACAGTCAGCATTTTGGATGGCATGAAACAATTCAGGAGTGACATCATAAACTTTACATGTCTAAAATGTCACTTTACAGACACATTGTATTACAATATGAAGAAACATGTGCTGATGAACCATTTTCAAAACTTAATAAGTACATATTTTGGCCAGAAACCTCATGAAAGTAAAGAGAATTCTGTTGAGCACTACTGTAAAAAATGTAATGCTTCTGCAAACAGCCAAGATTCTTTAATGTATCATGTCTTGACAGCTGAAACACACCGAGACCTGGAGAACAAACTTAGGTCTGTGATTTCAGAACATATTAAGAAACCAGGACTCGTGAAACAAATGCATATTGCTCCAAAGCCTCCTCAAGGTGTGGCAGTGGCTGCTCCATCTGCAGGGCCTGTCGCTGCCCCAGCAGGTTCCGTCACAGCTCCAGCTTGTGTCCAGCTTGCATTTCCACAGAATAATCAAACCCAGAGTGCGGTGCAGCCCGCAGCAGTTCAAAACCAGGCTGTTGGGCAGCCCGCAGCAGTTCAAAACCAGGCTGTTGGGCAGCCCGCAGCAGTTCAAAACCAGGCTGTTGGGCAGCCCGCAGCAGTTCAAAACCAGGCTGTTGGGCAGCCAACAGGAGTTCAAAACCAGGCTGTTGGGCAGCCAACAGGAGTTCAAAACACAGTCAGATCACTGACTGTTCCAAGTGCCTCTGGTAGCCTTCCATATGCAACTTCTGCTCCGGTTGTTACCCCATCGCATGTTACTCTGGTATCTAGTAATCTTCCTGTAGGTCAAAATAACCTTAATATTCAGCCGTCACCTACCCAGCCTATCATTGTTTCCCATAGGCTCCCCCTTAATCAACCTGTGAGGGCTGGAGCTATTCCTCTTAATCATTCTGTTGGGACCATAAATAGAACTGTGGCCCCTGCAGTTCTTCCTCTTAATCAACCTGTCAGGCCTGGGCTCTTTCCTATTAATCAACCCATTGGTACCATAAGTGGTCCAGTTGCAGCTGCAACGCTACCTGTAACTCAACCTGTCAGCCCTGTGAATCAACCGGTTGCACCAGGAGTTCTTTCCGTCAACCAGTCGCTTGGGAATGTGACTAGACCCATTGGTCCCAGGGTCCTTCCTGTGGCGCAGACCGTTGCGTCGGGCGTTCTCCAGTTTAACCAGCCTGTTGCCTCGGGGGTTGTTCCTGTCAGACAGCCTGTCAGACCGGGCTTTCTTCAGTTTAATCAACCTGTTGCCCCAGCAGTTATCCCAGTAAATCAGCCAGTTCAACCTGCAGTTTCTCAAAACACAACTTTTTTGACTGCGGGTTCTATACTTAGGCAGTTGATTCCAACCGGTAAGCAGGTTAATGGGATACCTACGTACACGCTTGCCCCAGTTTCAGTTACTTTGCCTGTACCTCCTGGTGGTGGAGTAGCAACCGTTACGCCACCACACGTGCCCATCCAACTAATGCAGCCTGGGGCAGTAACTCAGTTGTCGCAGTCACCGGCTAGCGCACCCTCTCCTCCCGTGGTTTTAACGTCTCAGAATATAGCATTACAAGCCTGCCCGCCTGGTCCTGAAACAAGTCAGGCTATCCGGCAGGCTAAGCAGTGGAAGACTTGCCCTGTTTGCAATGAGCTTTTCCCATCAAATGTCTACCAGGTGCACATGGAGGTGGCCCACAAACATGGTGAAGTAAAAATGGAGGAAGCGCTGGAACCTGACAAACTTGCAGCTTGCGCACCCTTCCTAAGGTGGATGACAGAAAAGACAGTCCGGTGTTTCTCCTGTAAATGTTTTCTCTGTGAGGAAGAGCTCATGAAACATCTCTTGATGCATGGCTTAGCTTGCTTGTTTTGCACAGTTACTTTCCATGACTTAAAAAGCCTCGTGGAGCACAATAAAACTACACACAATGGGAAAAAGCAGTTACATGCGGATTATAGCAACAGAGGATTTCAACTAGGTAATGATGCTCAGGGTGACCTTGTATTTCCACACTTTGATTTCAGTACAGCGTTACCAAAAGAAGACATCGGTGAAAGAGAAGTACATTTGGCAGTGCTTGCTGGACTAAATTCAAGGACACTTGTCCCTGTTTACATCAAAGTGAAACCTCAGACAGCAGAAGTGAACAATAGATGCAACAAAAAAGTGTTAACCTGTCCCTTTTGCTTTGGTACGTTTGTTAGTAAAGAAATCTATGAAATGCATTTGAAAGAGCGGCATCATATAATGCCAACTGTACATACAATTTTAAAGTCTCCTGCTTTCAAGTGCATCCACTGTTGTGGTGTGTACACTGGAAATATGACTTTAACAGCTATTGCTGTACATTTGCTCCGTTGTAGAAGTGCTCCCAAAGACAGCAACTCAAGCGTGAAGATGCAGCTTGAGCGTACTGAGAAGAAAGAGCTACTGTTTGTGAATGGTGAAAAGCATGACTCTGTGATACTGAAAAGAAAGCAGTCGGATTCCTGCTTTGTTGCAGAAGACCAAAGGAATAAGGAACAGCAGCCTCTGAGCTTAAGTACTGGCATAGCTCTAGCTCCAGAAAAAGAAGTGAATTCAGGGGTAGTGCCTTTCAAACGACAAAAGATTAATACTCGAACTGAGATGAAGAAGCTTCCTTCGAGTGAGGATCTTCGCATTCTAGCAGTAGATCCTAAACAGTATGATCACAATTCGTATGAGGCTCAAAAACAGTTTTTGACAGACTACTTTCACGAGAGGCCATATCCTTCTAAAAAAGAGATGGAATTACTTTCCTCGCTGCTATATGCGTGGAAAATTGATGTTGCAACATTCTTTGGAAAAAGGAGGAATATATGCTTAAAGGCGATAAATAGTCACAAACCATCTGTGCTGCTGGGTTTCAGTATGTCCGAACTAAAAAATATTAAGCACAGTTTGAATATAAAAGATGAACCATTAGATATGTAAACAAGCTTTTTATAACAGCTGAAAGCAATCCATAATTGCATACTTATCGATTTAGCAGTTTATTGTATTACTTGTTTTAACTTGCAGACTGGCCTGTTGAAGGGTGCAGTAGTACAAAAAGTCTCGTTCAATTGTGACTGTTATTGTGAAAGGCACACGTAGTTGTGTATTTGAAAAAGCTAAAACCTTCAGACTTACACATCTGGAATTTGTTTTAGCTTTTTACTTTTTCTGGAGTAGTGGGTTTTTTTGGGTTTTTTTGTTCCGTTTCCCTTTCTTCCCGTCCAGGCTCCCATTACACTTTTTATACCACCATGGAAAACATTTGTCCTGTTAAAACCAAATTTTATTTTATTTTTCTGCAATGTCATCATCTTTTCTAAACAATAAAATGTGTAATATTGGTTAAAATACTGAGGTAAACTACGTGAAAAACATCTATTTGATTATTTGTGTTTTTAAGTCCTCCTAATTTTTTTAACCTGTTTTTGTTCTATCTACTCAAGAAGTGATTGTAGCCTTTACAGCCATTGCCCCTTCAAATTCCCAATGCACTGGTAGCAATAAAATACATGGCAATCTCTTTTTTTTTTTCTTAGTCAGAATACCTGTGCCAGTTAAGTCTGGTGACTTGTAGTATCTAACTAGTGTTAACATGGTGGGGATTGAGGGGCTTGGGGTGCCTACTGAAGTGTTATAATTAACTGACTTCAAATGGTTGTGTTATTACCTGTTAAATAGATCTTGCTAACCAGAAGTGTTTACTCTCTTTGTTGGTGTTGAAGCCTGGTTGTTTAAATACCTGTTGTTCAAAGCTTGGTAGCAGCATCTGGTTTCTTTTTCAAAAAGCAAAACTGCTTTGGAGAGTGTCAGATTGTTTTGATACATGGAGTATATGACTTCTGTGCACATCACTTATCTGTAGAAGCCCTATCCAAATATCACCGAAGTTTGGTAAAAAATCTGATCTTTATTTTAAATTGCTGTTGGGTGAGGTAGTAACTGAGCAGTGCCTCCCCAGCAAATTAGATACATGGCTTGAAGTCCTTTGAGTCAGAAATTGTACAGGCTGAAACTGGATGAATTGGTAACATCAAGACTTTAAACTGCTGAGTACCTGAACCAATGATATTCATGTAGTGATTGTCCTATAGAGAGCATAAGAATAGTATAAAACCCAAGTAGACTATCTGGTTCAATATGAGCTAGCATCTTTATTACAGATTACAGAAAAGCTGTTGGGAAAGTTCACCGAGTTGAACAAACTATAGTACTGGTGGCCACATTGAGGCCCTGTTTAGTACTGTCCGTCCTTTCTGGATATGCTTTGTTTCATCTGGCTTGTCAAACAGTGCCTCTGATATTCATTAATAGCCAGTTATATAATAAATAACCTATAATATGCATTATTTTTTCTTCCTCCTCTTCATCCCCCTCTCCCCACCCTTCTTTCCCAGTAACAAAAAAAAAAAGAGCAGGCTCTTCTGTCAGTTCACTTGTGCCAGTGTTACAAGGAAAGGGTGATATGCCCAAGCTTATTTCTATTTTTTTAGGTAGTAAGCATACTTTTGCCTTGTGCAATAGTTTTTAAAGCAGATACAGAATGTTTTTTGTGCCGTTTCTAAAAGGGCATGACATTTTTAGCAGAATTTGGTGACTGTCCACCTGAGGTTCTGTAAGCTGTTTGAAATTCTATTTTGGATACAATCTTGATATTTTCATATTGATCACTTCAAAGAATTTTAATGTATATGTAACGTACAGTTACTTAAACTGAGAGAATCTGCTATTCGGAAAAACCTAGTCATTTAATAGCAGTGTTGAACAAAGATAAGTACCATTTATGGGATTGTCCGCACGCCCCACCCCAAAGAGTGACAGTAAGAAGCAGTGTGTTCTTATAGCCTAATAGTATCTCATTAAAAATAAAAAAATGATATTTGGGCATAACACAGTTCATGAACCAGTTGGAAGGGCTCTGAGTGGGCAAGAGGGATGCTCTATAGAAGTTCTGAAATCTAGGCACTCATTTCCACTCTTAAAACCTCGATACTGTGAGCCCTGTCATCTTTGGAGTAGTTCTGCTGGTATTGGTGAAACTCCAGTAGGAAGGAATTTGGCAGCGTGCATCTGGGGAAGGCTTGCCATGAACGGTTAAAGATTGTTCTTGAGATAACAGCATGGCTTGGAGTGGGGAGCTGGGAAGTCATTTCAGGGTTCATCCGTGCTTGGGGCACCAAGGGAGCAGTCCAGTCTTACCAGAGTTTTCCTACATAGTGTCCAGTGTTGATGTTGAGCATTTTATTTATTGGACTTTGATTTCACAGTTTCAAATAAACCAGCTTTCTAACTTTCTCTTAGGTGTGTGTGCAAATGATTGCCTATCTCCCCCCTCCCCGCCCTTTTTAATATATTCAGGGAACTTGATGTGAAAATTTCTTTTGGTGCAAAATAGCTATTAAAAGACACAAAAGGAAAGTAAGACCTAGAACTTAGATCCAGGTGCTTTAGGTAGACCTTAGTGCATTATAGTAATATCTTTTATTATCTCAAATACTGAGAGCTGCATATTTTCCTAGAGACTGATGTTCTTAAGTCTTGGTACTAATTTGCTATCGCTGAATGCCCCTGCTGTCATTAAAAGAGGACTGTAGAAACAAACAAAAAACAGGTGAATTTTGAAATGTGAAAGCAGTGACTGAGACACAGTATGGTCATGGTTTTCAGAAAAGCCAAGGAGCCTGAAAACAGCCAAGTTATGTCAGCGGCTTTAACTAAATTAGGCTTTTGCTGTAGGCTTCTCACCTGTGAAGTCATTTGGTTAGAAAGTGTTAGTCTGGAAAGATACTCCTGCCCGTGTCTAGGGCGATGTGTGGGCAGTAATGTAAATGTCTCTGGTGCTTTTCTAAGGGCACGCTCCTGGTGGATGCTGTTGGGGAAGAGAAATCTAGCAACGGAGCTGCCCTCTGAAGCAGAGTTTCCAAATGCAAGTCCGTAAAGCACGTGGATGAAGCTCTGGTCCACAGTAGAAGTCCACTTGGGAAGAATACTGGTCGGTTTGCAGGATGATTGTAGCAAGTACTTCATTCCTTATGGGAACAAAAAAAAATCCCTGCCATGTGTTCTGCTTCTGAAACGTATTGGTCTGGAGAAGTCTCTGTGTTTGAGAAATACTTTGTTGTGGTGTCTTGAATTTATAAGCAGAAAAATTGTGCTTGTGAGATAGTGTGATAACCTATTATTTGAATACGTAGTAGGGAGGATTATTATTATAATGTGACTTGGTCATCTTTCTTCTGTATTTGTTCATATGCTGGGAGTTCAGTTAATACTGTTTGGTAAACTGACATTGTGGAAGGGGACAGAAACCAAAATACCCTTGTGATTGGTTTTCAGTACTGTATTCTTGGATAGAATACTACAGTTCACCATTGCATCAAACTTTTTTTTCCCTTCACGGTTTTAAGTTGTTCAGAAAAGCTTAGGGGCTTATCTAAGTAGCTGTTAAATATAATTTTGGGTGTGCAATTCCCAACAAATTTCTCTATAAAACTGTAATTCTACTGCAGCTGCCTGTGCCATTTTCAAACATACATTTGTCACGCTTAGCTGTGGGCACATTTTTCTAGGAAAGATACTTGATGCTAAGTAGCAAAGTACAGATACATGGAGAAAAAAGCTGCAGCCTAAGAGCAAGGGGAAAAAAAAAGACCAAATAAAACCTCAGAAAATGTGCCTGGCTTGCTTTAAAGGTCAGAAGAATTTTCACTCCTTCCTCTGCAAAATGTACACGAAAAGGACAAATTGAGGGTATTCATGAATGAAGCAGAACTTTGTGGTGCTGCATTTAAAGTCTTAACACCTTGCTTGAGTGCCTACATATCTCATCTCTCATTTCAGCTGTTCTGACTTTTGACAGGCAAGCCACAGTTGTGACCGTTTCTCTTTTTACTTAGGTACCAGCTCCCAAAACATGTACAACATAGGTTTTTTTGCTTTGAATCTGTCGGAGTTTAACATACCGAGTTAGAGGGGATGTGTGCTTACAGTACTGCCCTGTGTGTTTGAGAAGAGCGTAGGTCTGCAGGTATCAGGAACACGAATGTGGGCTGGGTGCTCGTCTTCTAATTCCACATAAACTACTGTTTATTAACACAGCGTTTGACCTAGTAGGATGTTGAAGAGCACCTTATAATAAAATGAGGGGAATGTAGAGGCCTCAAGTGTCTGCAAATATAGTTCTTATTTTATTTTGGCTGCTCGTCCGTTCAATGGGAGTAATAGCAGTTCTTGCCATCCTAGCGTATAATGTGGGTGAGTATCTTCCTGAGACTGGTAGGTATTTTATGCATCGACCTGCACCAAGTCAGCTGAGTATGGAACAGCTGATGGTGCATATGTATGATTGAAAGCCATTGGGCGTGGACATTTCTGGAGAAAGATCTGATTAATTGTAGTATCGGAGTCAGTGTCATTTTGGCTTACAATCCGTTTGGAAGTGAAAAAGATACTGAATTTTGAACAAAGTGAGAAGTCTATAAAGCAGTATTGCTATGAGACAGGCTTGCTAAGGAAGACCTCGGTGGCCTTCGGTAACTCGGCTGTACCGAGCATGGCGTAGTGCATAGATCTATAGTGACTGAAAGGGCCACAGTGACATTTGGGATGTGTCCTGCTGTGATTGCTGTAGTCTTTGCTGCTCGCTGTTTCTCGCCTGGCCTGCATTTAACCGGCGTTAGAGCAGCCGTTGTATGAATAACCAAAGAAGAATGCACAGTTACGGATGGGTGGAAAAATGCCAAGACACCAACTCAAGCAGAGTCAAGTAGTATTAATAAATGAGTAGCGGAAGAGAGATTATAGAGAGGCACTGTAGATTTTTAGTTGTTCTTTGCAGAAAAACAGTGAAAGGGGTGGGAAGTTCCCCTGTCAGTTTCCAGTTTCCACTGGGATGTGGAAGGCTGTCTCTTACGGACTGGCCTTGTTCGCTGTACTGTCACGCTCACGGTCTGCCAGCAGCATCACCTTTTAGAAAAGGTGATGCAGAAAGGATGTTGCTGGAGCCTCTGTGAGATGCTCTTTGGCTCGTAAGGACCTAGTTCTGGAACACATATTGTGAAATCATTTCCAGGTTGTGAAGGACAAGTGCCCTTAACTTCATTTATTAAATCATCTTGCATAGCAAATACAGCGCCGTCCACCTGCCACAGGACTGGCATCATGTGCTACGCTAGAGACCGGGGACTGAATTAGAAGTTTTTTGGAGCTCTCAGGACAGTCTCCTCTCCTGACCTGGGCAGAGAATTAGGATTGCAAGGGCATTACTTACCCCAGAACAGGTAGTTACCTTTGAAAGCACTGGCGGTCTGCTGTACGTGTGGCCGTGCACGTGATCAGGTTCTGATTAATGCTACGGTGGTTGCAGGTGATCCTCAACGGAGCTAAAAGCGTGAGGTGGGCTGGTCAGCAACCATCCTACGTGTAGCGGAGATGGAAGGCTGAGTGTGAGCAGTACAACTGAATTGAGTCTGTCTTGGCTTCGTTATTTTAGAGTAAGAGCTTGCTTTAAGGTAGCTGTTGGGACGGATCTTAATGTTACTAACGATGTGAAAAGTGCAAGTCTATTAACCAAACCTGTTAATGGAATAAAAGCTGTCAGGCAGCGCTGGTGTAGAGAAGAGCCAGTATCACGTTTGAAGAGCTTGGGTGCTGGGACTTAATACAACGTCATCGTGGTTTATAAACGCGCGTGCCTGAAGGTTTAGCCCTGGAGGCGGGTTTGAGGAGGTCCCTGCAGAAGTGAGGAGCGCGAAGAGGAGCTGGGGTCCCTGAGCGCCGGGGGGGGTCTGCGGGAGTGGGCAGTGCCCTGGGGATTGCTCCTCCGGAGCCCCTCCGAGGCACGAGGTTGAGGTGGCCGGTGCCGCCGTGCCGAAGGGTCCTGGGGCGGCCGGAGGACCACGTTTCCTCGGACAGAGCAAAGGTCCTTCTTGCGGGCGAGACCTCTGCCACCGGATTCTTCTGATACCGTTTCTGTTCGTTATCAGGTGTCTTAGAAAGCTTGGACCAGAGGCTTTCTAATGAAAATTATTCCAAAATATTATTCTTCTAAGAAATAAAATGTAAAATATATATAAAACTTTAAAATATTCTAATAAAAATTATTCAAAAAATTGCACATGCAATTCTGAATGCTTTAGTTTGGGGGTGGTGGGAATGACCCAGAACAACAGCAATAAAAAGCTCTTAGCAGTCCAAGGCTCCCGGGGGAACAGAACTTAGCAAAAAGATGCATTTAAAAAAAAAAAGGGCATTTTCTCAGAGCAGATGCTTCTGTGTGCTTCCTACTCTCTCTGTTGCCCTAAACCGCATGTACCTCTGGGGCAATGAGGTCAACTGCTCATAGAAATACCTGCAAGTGCTGATGTGGGTTTCACACTTTCTATCTACTTTCTGTCTGGTTTTCGAGTAGGTGGAAGAGAAGTGGTAACTGTCCACCAGATCTCTCTTATTTGCATAAAGTTTTTTCTTCGTACTGCTTTGTGACCAAACACTGTTAGATCTACTTGTGTTTTTGCTGGCCAGATTTTCATGCTGTAGATGGAGTGTTTGCATCATGCTGAGAAATACAGATTTCTCTTTGGGAAATCTGCAGCCGTAAAAACTTTTGATTACAGCGATGTTACTATTAGAAGATGTTTAGCTGCTGGGGCCAGCCCTGTTTCCTCTCTGTGGTTGGAAGGAGGTGTTTTTTTAAAGAAATTAGAAGGGCAAAGATCGACACAGACAGTTTTAGACAAAGGAATTCACAAACCCTACAAGCAGACCCAGCTGAGATAGGAGGGGTAAGCTGTGCTGGAAATACTATGTTGGTGACGAGCCCTGAGCAGGGCGATAAACCCTGCAAGGGGGATTTTTTTTTTTTTTTTCTCCTTTCCTCCATACCGCTAAATAAAAATATGCAATTTTTCCTTGTGTGACAAGTCAGCTTCCCCTCACCTACCCCATGTCCGTGAGGGGTCTGAGCTGCGGTCCCCAACACCGGCAGTGTGTGGTCTGAGACCTCCAGAGGTTGGGTCGGAGGTCCCTGAGAGGAGAGAATGTCTCTGGAGAACACGCCTGAAGGGTGGGTGGGAGCAATACTGGGGGCTCTTTTAATCTGAGACTCAATGTGCACGTGGCTGGGGGGTTCAGAGCAAGCACAACCCACCAGTGCTGCAACCAGTGCAGGGAGCCCAGGAATCACATGGAGACCTGCAAGGGAGAAGAAGAGGGTCGGGTCAG